ATGGATTTCAATATTCGAGCAGTCAATAATCACTGACTGTCTCTCTGGCATGTTGAATAGAATGGCGCTTCGCACAGAAAGATGCTCATAAATTGAAGATGATGTTCTTAAAGTGAAGCAAGAAATAAATTTCCCGCGTCCAAAGTCTGCGTGGCTTCATGTTTTAAAAAGGACAATAAATAAAGTGAAGATTGAGAGGAGATTTGTAAAATAATAAAATAGGCCCAGAAAATGTATCAAAAACAAACAGGAAAACTTCCCATCTGAATATTTCTGGTGAAGGAACATTGAATTTTGGGGATGCTATATTTGAGAGTGGCTGTCAAAACTTTTGTGGGTGGATATGTAGCATTTAAATTTAAAATTTTCCCTCACAAAAGGCAATATTTTGGCTCACTGTTGCGCACATCAAATATTCAAATGATGCCACAACACAGCCTCCACGCAATTTTCAATAACTTCCAATCATGCCGAGGCTCAGCGACCTTAATCACCCAATGAAGTTTATTGGGAAGAATACCGATACAGCACAAAAGCATGGGGAGAACACAAATGTACATAGTAATGCAAATATTTTGACTTGATAAAGATCATTTGTGGCACAGATAGCGAATAAAAGTTCGCTACATTTGTAGCGTTTTTAGGGGAAATCTCTGTTAAAATTCCGTTTTTTCGACATTTGAAAAAGTTTTCACTCTTGCTGATGCCGAATCGTTAGCCTGACGTTAGCATTTGAATCTCAAAAAGCACCTTAAAGTCCAGCAAGTTTCGCTACAGGTTATAAATCTATCAAATAAGGCCATGAAAATGCCCGTGAAGCTCTGGCCATAACTTCTCCATCAACTTCTTCAGTCGCGAAGCTTGAGAAACTTTCCCTGAAGCGCGGCCATTCATCTCCAACCCCAGGGTTAATTCTAGCCCTCTTTTAACCAGGAACTTCACAGCATGGAGAAAGTTCCTCCAGTGCAGCTCATTTGAGGAATGGAGTCGATACAGTTTTCATGCTCCAAAATGATCAAAATTTTAATACAAAGCACACCCCGCAAAATCGCCCCTTCCTTGCCCAGGAATTGCAGAGAGAACCTGTGCCAAGGGTTCATCATAGCGCTGAACCGACAAGCATGAGCATAATGACATTCCTCGCTGAATGGCAATCGAGACTGCCAAGTTGAAGCTGGGAATGCATTTAATCATTTGCATCCGGCATATGTTTGATTAATTGCTCGATTGTACTTATCAGATCACTTAAACATACCATCAGGTGAGCCTCTGTTGGCAGTTCTCCCTTCGACGCGACGACCGACAGCAAATATGTTTACACCTGATTACCTCAATTTAATGAGTCACGTGTGCATTTTACGTGTGCACAAGGATCATGGTGGAATCGGGATTCTCTCTGTGAATTGTTAAGCCCTCAACTCGAGACACTCTCTTCAGGTTTAATATCAATGCAATAAATTCGCCACACACACACACAACACACGCGCGCCACACTCTAGCAATCTCACCATGAATATCAATGAAAATTGTCTAAGCACGTAGACTAACAGTGAATTTATGTTGGAATAAATTTTGGCGCGGAGATTTGCCAGAAATCTTACCTTTCCCACAAATCAACTAATTGTTGCCAAATTCAGCTTCTTATGAAGCTTAATCTCACCACTTAGCTATATGTATAAATTTATACATCATTGTGTGAATTGAGCGTGGTAATAAATGTCAAGGGGCAGATATTATGGCCAGAAGTGGTGTACAGCTAAATATTTGCATTGCAAAAGGTTTCGTTTCAACAAATAGAGGCAAGAATTTCCAAAATTTTAATAAATTCGTCACTTTGAATTCATTTGAATTAAAATCTCTTCTTTTTCTACAATTTTTATGGCCTCCAAAAGGCAAATTGTTCGAAAATGAGCATTTAAGTGCTTTTAAGCTCTGTCACTATTCTAATCCTCTCCACTTCTTATCCCGAGCTTAGCACGACTCTTGCGGAAATGCTCATGCTGACTGTCGTCCGTGGAGACTGAGTTGGAATGTTGTTTCTAGTGAGTGTTGCATGAGGAAAAAAGAAGCTCTCCAAGGACAAAATGGGAATTGATTTTGGAATTTTCAAACCAAACACCAACAGAGTTCGGAAATACCATTTGGAATCTGTCGATTTCAGTGTTACCATCGAAAGTCACTCCACCACTTTCCTTCCCCACTTCTCTCCCTCTATCTCTGCTCTTTCCCCATATGAACTGGCACATGTCGAGACTCGAACGTGGTGCCTTTTCCTTCATCCCCTGTCGAGTTTTCCATATGCCGGGGCCAAATGCCAACGGTCGAGGCGGGTTGGGGGTGGCTGTGGTGCCGAAAAAGCCAATATGGATGGGCAAAAAAAGGGGAGAATGGATAAATAGGAGGACAATTGGGATACAAAGTGCCTGCAATCGGTGCGCCAGAGTCTCTAAATCAATTGACTCCCCGGCTAACGGCGCTGCGATTTATCTGATGATCGTGATTTTCAATTGATCCACACTGTAAGGAATATAATTGGTCAGTGGCCGTTGCAGCTGCGATTGTATTTGCACTTCTCCGGCGAAAATCACAACAAAATGTTAGCCCGATAGAGCGGAAAATGTTTACACTGGACAAATACGCCAAGTATTTGAGTAGCAAACTAACTGGAGGGACGCTGAATTGATGTTTGACTCACCCACTGAACCGGATGGCTTCCTGGGGATGTGCAAGCGCCACTGAAATGGGACATTAATGAATCGTGTGCGAGGATTTGCTGCAAATTGCAACATAGAATAACTTTTCACTCGGATTTGCCCTGAAAAGTGCAGCTGGAAAAAAGGTCTACTACAAAAGGTAAAAAAAAAATCACTTTGGATTAATGAGATTGACTGTGCCATATTTTGAAGGGCTTTTAGACTTTATCACACATGCAATTCCAGCATTAGAAATTACTGTGTGAAAAAAGAGATAAACCCCGTGCGAAGCATTTATGCAAGCGCACTGACTTGAGAAGAAAGGGGCGGGGCGTTCTGTTGGGCGTGGCTTTCGATATTCCCCTAAAATCTCGCTTAATTGGAAAAAGGGTAAATGTTGATTCGCAAATTGTAATTGCACGTTACATAACTACTTTCCCGAAAGGGCAAATCCACATTTTCAAAAGCAACCTGGAAAATTTACGCTTTCTTTTGCCTCTCACAATCAACTTTTCTCGTCGATGTAATTTTAGCGTGGCAGAATTTAATTGAATATGATTGAATTTTCAATTATGAAACTTTCCAGCGTGTGATTTTGGCAATTGTGCTCTTGGAATCATTGTAAAACATCACTCGGATGGAAATTCGATTAGAAAAGTCTATTATACCCCCAACACTTTCTATCATGATTGTCACCATTGTCACACTCGCTGGGTGTCACAATTGGTTATACTGCAATTCATACTGCTGTGAGTGCATTAATGCAGTCAAAACACTTCTCAAAGTGACATGCAAACAAATTTTCACACATGTGAGAGCTTTTCAGTGTATTTGATGAATTCATTAGCCATCTTTTTTCTTCCTCTGTTTGAGGGAATTAAAAGAAAAGTCACGGCTTTGCATGTTGTGTGGCATTGGCGTGAAAAAGTGAATAATTCTGAGGGAAGGGCGTGTAAAAAATTCAAACATTTCCCACCCCGTGTATCTCTGTACTTTTTGAATTATTCATATGAAAGTAATGTTATTTCTCATGAGAGATGCTTTCTCATGCTATAAAACAATCTTCGCAAATTGAGGATTTATGTGGCTTTCATTGTGATATATGTCTCAGAATATGATTGTGTGAGAGATTTACAAAGAAGTCTTACTTCTTGCCCATCAATTTTCACGTCTTCTCCGTCGTTTTTGCCTCATCCTTGTGTATGTGTGGGACGAGAAACAATTATTTAATTGCCCTGCAAATACTTAAGTAAACACAACTCCTGGGCTGAGAGTAGAATTCACCAAATTCGTGAGATGTTATTGAAATTACCTTCATACTGAATGCTTTCAGGAGAATTTCAATATATTTCTTTTTTTCTCTCAGCCCAGGAAATACTTCCAAAGATTGTACGCTTTGTGAAGATTCACTGCGCTTTTGCTCAACTTCGAATTAGAATGTTTCACATGAAAGGCACATAAATTTGCAAGAGATGTGAGTATCCGAGAAATTCAAATCAATTTCCCAGATCATTTTCGCCAAATTGGTCAAATAGTTCTGTATTCATTCTGTGAGTGTATAAGAATTTATTCTCACATTTCTTTCAACAATGTTTTAGAAGTGCCATTGAGTCACGTTCTTCCACGAGCAATGCTGAGAATATTTCACTTGATACTGCTGAAGTTTATTCATAACTGTCATCATGAAGATGATTGAGTGTCTATGAATGCACTTCACATATTCATGGATAACGAAAGGGACGAAAGAGGGACAAAAAGGAGCTTCCAAATTCAAAAATCTTGATTGTTGTTGCAGAAAATTTCAAAGATAAAGCTCAAATCTTTTTTTTTTCTTCACCCAAGAGGCAAACATTTGTGTGAAAGAGCCACAGAAAGAACGTTCGGGGTTCGTTAGAAAATATGATTGCAAACGAGTGGAGTGGATGTAAAGTATGTTTGCCGGGTGAGATGAGAATGAAAACGATAGTGAAATGCGACATTGAGTTATGGTTATTGCATTTACCTCTCTCTCTCTCTCGCTCCTTCTCTTGGAGGAAAAAGCTCGACTGCTTGAGCTATGAAATGTGTGATTATGTGTCTGGTGAGAATTGATTTCTGCTTTTGATGAAAGTGGCTGGCAAGACGGTAGATTCGATTGAAGGAAATCCATATCGGAATATTGGAATGTCTGAGGGTGGCAAGAAAAAAGGCCACAGCGAGGATGCAACTCAGACAGCCAATTTCCCCTCAGTTCAATTTGGACAAACTCACACACAGCAAATTGGTTACATTGCCAGTGGGACTTGAGGGAATATTGGTACTACTCACCAGTCTCCTCAAACACGAGTGCGACCCACCAAATTGACCCAATAGCCGTAATCTGCAATACAACAAATAATTGATAATTAATGACAACCACATGTAGTATATTTAGGCAATTATGTATGGCACATATATTGGGAATATTAGCAATTGATTGTGTTTACAGGTTCCTCCCTCGGGAGAGCGTCATTAAAGAGCCGTCCTTGCTGAATTTAATATTGCCGGATGGAAGCCACAGCATGTGAATTATGACAATTTCATTAGCACACCGAATGGCCCAACAAAGTGCCAGCGAGCTCGCGAAAATCGGGAAAATATGGGAAATCTTCTGCCACTTAGTATTCACCCATTGTGCTAAATATTGACTAGTTTTCTACAGTAGAATATGAGCATAAATTACCCAGCGGAACTTTTAGGTTGTTTAGCTGAAAAGTGCTAAGTTTACTGAGCTAAAATTTTAGCAGTACTCGAAGGAAAAGTGTTAAGCCGAAATATTGAAATGGAACCGAGGAAACTCTATAGAGCTACAAACACAGCAATTTCTAGCACAATATTAAGCCTATGTTCAGAATTTTTCTGTTGTTTCTCACTAAATATTTTGCTAAATTTATTGCTTTTTCTGATTAAAAATGATCAAGGATACAAAGATACAAGAGAGCATACAAATCTCTCAATTTTGAGGGTTTTTACATTGCTTTATTTATACAATTAACTTGAGTGTTGTTATCACGAAGAATATCATTGAAATTAAATGGTTTTACATGATGCGACATCTGTGCATTTAAGTGCGCAAAATATTAGCGAAAAATAGCGAAAATATTAGCTTTTTAGATCTTAACGTTGAGATCTTAGCATTTTGTGCTCGCTGGGTAATTAATATGAGTGTATTTGACGTGTAAACTTGTGAGAGAATCTAATTTAAATAATTTTTCTCGTAATTTTAGATGCTCTCGATAGAAAGCTCAAAGGTTAATGTTACATGGAATCCAAAACAGCGTAATATTCGTATACACAGCGCGTAATATACAAGCACCTTATTCACCTTCCCTCTGCTAATGGTTATATCCTTCACTGTTGGGGGTGAATTTAATACTTGCGCTGTAAATACCAGGACACCCTTCCCAGGTGGGGAGTCAAATTTGAGTGTCTTCCCATTGTTGACGGCGAGGAGGTGAATAGACGTGAATATCGCCATTGATTAAAATGTATCCCTGGTGAGTAATTAAATCAGCACAATGAGTTATGGGTGTGCTGGAGGGACTGAGAAAGGGCCATTGGAAGTGACAATCATTGCCGTCCTAATTATTTCCGGGGCGCACTTGTGGCACTCATGGTCCGAGCTTTCGCCTGAGCCACATTTCATAAGCTCCAAACCGAACGAACCACAACATTATTTTAAGCGCACAACAGGCAAAGTTCAGTGCTGTGCTTAAAGCTCACCCTTGGGAATGCACAGTGGACGGGCGGGAGGAGGGAATGGTGTGTAAAATTATTTTAAAGAGCATCCCAGACAATTTTGCAAATCCACCAAAATGAGCAATTTCTCCCAGTGTGATTTCTCTTTTATCCCCTCATTATGCTCTGATCCACTCTAGAAAAACCATGCAATTTGCATAATTACTTCTTCCACATGGAAATATGCTGCCGAAGGTGGAGAGAGAATGTAAGCCAGAAGAAATCTATCTTCATCTTGCATAAAGATGCCTCTGATGAGATGGGAGGTTTTACTAACTTCGTCATGAATGGAAAAATTTCACCCCAATGGAAAGCGCCCGATCATGAGACCATGACACGGACTAAAAGGGAAAGTCGCAGTGTATCAGAGAGTGGAAATATTGCAAAACTTTGTCGTTGTGATTTTTTTGTCGCTCTCCGCCTTCTTCTTACGCGCCGCAAGTCGTGAGAAACTTTCCTTTCCACACTCCATCTCATTAAGTATTTTGTCGGACACCAAAAAAAAACGCTGCCTCTTCACCTTTACACCTGGAGAGATCTTCATGATCAGAAGGAGGTTGTGACACGACAAAGAGGACTTTAATTGCCTTTCAAAATTCATTGTTACTTCACCATCACGAGCGACACGTTTTTGGGTCAATTCTTCTCGCATGAGAAGATTATGGAAATGGGGTGGAAGCACTCTGTGTGTGTGGACCTTCTTGTGCGTTTTATGGGTGTACACATAATTTCCTCCCTTTTGCAATTTTCACACAGGACGTGCGCTCACCACCCGAAAGCACCAGAGAGTGGAAAGTCAAAGAAGTGCATGCGGAAAGTCTCGTAAATCTCATACTCATGAAAATATGTTGTCTCCTCGAGTTGAATGCTAAAGCAATGGGCAAATGTAGATAAAATTGCAACTTGCCAAGATGGTAAATCAGCGAAAAACTTCCCTAAGCTATCGTAAATCATATCAAATGCTATCTATATACCTTCGAGGTGCTTCATAGCAATGAGCTGATAATCCACCAGTTCAGATGCCGCCATGGGGTTCATGTGAAACAACAATGATGATTTATGGGAAGCAATTGTGACCCTCTTTGTCGTCTATAGATCATCGAGTAGCAATTGGAGCTCAACTAGAGGAAAATTTGTTGAATTTGTTGAATTTTTTGGCTTAGAAAGGAGAAATTCAACAATTCTACAGCTTTCGAAAGTTGTGTTTCTCAAATTCAATCTCATCTTCCATCTGAAATCTCACAAGAAGTCCTGAATGTGTGCAGCTTTAGAGAGAAACTTCTTCAGGCATGATCTCCCCAGTCATATTTCCCCATATTGACTGTCTCGATGGTGGAAATGTCGAGAATATTTGCAATCTCATATTTCCACGCGACAACATCGCAAAAGCAACTGACTCAAGATATTTCCTTTTCGGCCACCAAAGATGCAGAGAGACATCCCAGAAATGGAATATAATTGCCTCAAGCCCTCAACTTGCCTCAATTGGGAAGTTTTTTTTCCGTGGCACGATAAATAAAAGTCACGAAGGAGTGGGAAGAAGTTGAGGGTGTGCCTCTCGGGCAGGACTTTTGCTTCCCCGTGTCACCGTGAGTTGAGTGTAATCTGCAGATGGATCTCAAGCTGAAGTGACTGGAGTAGATGTGTTCCTGGACGTCATTAAATTTAAATCGATTGCCCAACGCGATGGGATGATACTTGGGTAAATAATTGCACACGGAGAGAGAGCTTCGACTTCTTCTATTTTCGAGGGTGTTCGCGGGGGTGGAGAAGGCCAGTGTAATCTCCCCCACACGCTTTGGCTCCTTGAGAGACAAAAGTGGAGAGGAGATGAGTTTGGCATAATTTAGATTCGCCTTCGGAGAGTAGTTGAAAAATCCATGAGAATTATTATCTGTCTGAAATGGTGAATCCTCTTCGATTTAGCAAAGTGATTTTTATTTGGGATGCTAGCAAATCTCAAAGCACTTCACACCCGCCTTTTATGTGTTCATCCTTCATCCCCACCCACCGGATCACCCTCTCGGCTATGAAATCGTTTCATCTCAATCCCCACAGTCCACACATTGCCACCACCCGCCATCCCCAAGCCAGCCTCGGGAGTGTGGCGGCAAATAAATTGCTGAGAAAACAAATGTATTTTCTGATCGATATAATATATTGAATTGGAATGTAATCGCCTTAAATTTATCACGTCGTGATCGAACAAAGACACTCATATAAATATTCAGTTTGCTGGCCACGGTGCTCGACCTGACGATGGTAAATAAAGCTCACTCTCACCATCTTGAGGCTTTCCACCCCACTCTGTGCTCCCTCTCAATAAAAGTGGGAAAGCTCCAATTGTCGCTGACGCTGAATTAAATTGCTCCCTTTATGAAATTACACTCAAGAACACATATATTGCCAGAGTTGAAAAAGAAACGTTGCGAGGAGTGTGTAGAAAGGAGCACAAAAGACGCAGTAAATTGATTCGCCATCATAAAAGCACCAAATTGAATAATTCGTTTTATCTCGCGAAAGAGATAAAAAATCAAATATAATCTAATTTGCCGAGATTTTTATGAGGATACAGACAAGAAATGGAAAAATGTACTTTAGGAATTTTTCACAGATAAAAGGGAATAATTTGGGTTTTCCGCCCTTATCCGGTCGACTGAAGTATATAAATTTGAATTTCTTCCTTATTTTCGTTCCGTTGTCAAATGGCGGAAAACTATTTTCCTCTCTCCATTTCGACGGGTGAATTGAAAACTATGAAAAGTCAATTTATCATAGTTTTCGTCAAAAATGGCAATCAAACGCATAAAACGCTTTTCAGAAAATAGTTTTAGATTTTCAGAATTATCCTTAAATGTTTTTTAGATTTTGAACGAATATTTCTCATATCTTTTAAATTTTTTAACTTGAAAACTTCAAAGACGAGTTGATTTCTTAGAACTTGTTTGGATTAAATTGACTTTGGGAAGTGATATTTATTTTCTTTTAATTTTGCTATATTTTAGTGAAAAAATTTCAATAAATACCAATAAAATCAACTGAAATATTTACAAAATAATAAATACAGAGCAATATTTGCACTTTAACGGACGATTTGAAGGCATTTTGAGAGTTTTCAAGTGAATATGGCAAATTTCGCAGCTCTTTTAACGCTAAATTTTGAATTCGCTCTGCTGAAAGTTTGTGATTTTGACTTTTCATAGTTTTCGATTCACCCGTCGATTTATGACGCCCATGACTTTACACACACACATAATTCTCCATCACTTCACAGTATGTGATAAAACGCAAAACTCCCCACAAAGAATTGCCATGAAATGAAGCAAGTTCCATCCGGGAAAAAAGCCACACAAAGTTCCCCACTCGCGGCAATATAGTTTGTCCGTATCAGGAGTGCTCAGGAGACAAGATGAAGTGTGACATCATCTTTTCTGGGGGCTCCAATTGTGTGGCGGAGGATGTAATGTTTATTTAAAACCATATGACACTTCCTCGAGCAGGAAATTGGGTTTGGGTGTGCAACTTGGCGAAATAACGAGGAAACTTTCCACCCAAACTGCGACGACAAGTGATATTCACATGAGGAACTTTCACTCCTTTTGC